GAGGGCTAGTATCCACATCTCTATGCAGGATGTGTGAACAGGAAGATGAAACTGTGAGGCATGTCCTTCCTGGAAAAGACAGGATGGAAGATAGGACAACTCCTCTGGAAGATGTACAATGGGTCACATGTGATCTAAGTGCTGTGGGCCTACACTCAACCTCCCTTCTCTACAGATACAGATCCATCACTATATATATGTTTTCTATTTTGTGATATTGGAAAATTCTCAGAATTCATTAGGCTAACATTATTTTTTATGTTTTATGTTTTTATTCAAAATACCTATTTTTCGTTGAAAACAATGTTCTATGACCAGAATTTCATTATCTCAAACATTCAATGGAAATATTACAATTCAATTAAATTTCCATCAGTTTTATTTCCTACATTATTACAAGTGTACTCATGAAATACTTCCTGATAAAAAGTCGCGGTATGTACTGGGAAGTTTCCAATTAGGTTTGAATTAACTGAATCGAAATCGAAAATGTTTATCATTACCCACGAATAGAATATTCATCGCGATTTTTATTACATGCAGAATACAACAGCACCTATTAAAAGATCTAGTCTCGGTAATGCACTAGCTGTAAAATTTACTACAATTACTTCAAAGGAAGGATAATAAAATCTGCAGACTCTGAATATTTCCGATCATTTCAATAAAACCCCTTTAGAAGCAACAAACGATATCATTTTTAGTGTGTGGAAATGTTTGGATGCAAGGTAAGTTTTGCAAAACTATAATATTCAGAAGATATTAAGAGAGATATTTTTGAAAACGTTTTTATAGTGGCTACTTTTCGAAGTAGCCAATGAAAGTTCCAACAGGGGGTAAACAAATGCGACACATGCATTTGTATTGCAACTCCATTTGTATTGGGACACCAGACAACCGTTATTTTTTGTAACGTTCATTTTCATTAAGAATGATTCTTTTGATAGAATACTTGAGATAATCGCGATGAATCATCTGAAACCGTAGGTTTATCGATTGAAAAATTTATAGTTTCACTAGGGAATAAGTCAGAAAATACTGACATGCATAAAAAATTCAGAAAACAAAAGTTATTTCAAATAAGTCAATCTATCAATTTCCGGACTTATTTTCAATGCAACCTTTTTCATCACCGAGAAGGAGATAAAAGTAAACCTCGATACAAAGTCAACATTGTAGCAGTGGGTAATAAAAAATCTGAATCAAAATGTTTGTCCAAATTATACAGAATCCCCGTTTTTCACCTTCATTGACGGGAATACTCATCAATTTATTGTATAGACAATTATATACAGTATCACACATAAAGTCGCCAACGTACAGAAGTTTATTTTAATAATATTATTGATTCCGCAGTAAATTTGTGCTTTCCTTTCATCATTTGCTACTATAAACCTGTTAGATTTGACAGTTTTCGGAAAATCCTCAAAAAAATCAGGTTTTTTGGAAATTTTGAAAGATTACAAAAAAGTTGATCAGTTTCCAATGTCTTAACTTTTTTACAAATTTGAACTCTTTACTGTCACTACATTTTTTAATCTTTCGCTCTATCGATTCGAACAGAACATGATTCAAATTTGGTAATTTTAATGAATACAAGAGTTCAATGACATATATTGCACTGAAAATACCCACAATGACCTGGTTACTACAAAAAAATAAATAAATAAATATTTGTTGTTGCAAAGTTTAGCTAGTTTATTCATTTCGTTGTGAAACGAATTCAGAATATCAATTTATAGACATTGATATGTCAGTAATTGAATTAATGAATTTCTCTTCATTCTTACACTCTTTATTTCTTTATTGATAAGTTTGTATTCCGTTCGATAATTTTTTTCACCAAGAGTTCAGCTGCAGATCAGTTCAAAATAGTTTTATGTAGTTTCTGATAAAATGATAATTTTTTGCAAGGTTCGTCATGAATCTCATATTTTCTTGTTTACCATTAGATATGTGAAAAAATTGAACCGAAATAACTATAACCAAATTCACAACAAAATAGCTTTATATTCATGTATTTATCTCAATAATCTTATGAAAAACTTGAATCCATTATTCAGTATGCCGTCCTTCCCGTTTTATACAAATTATAGACTTCGTGGCATTTTTAGTATAGAAAAATATCTGGTCGAGGTTAGGATCGAACTCACGACCTTCTGGTCGTGAGTCGGGCGCACTAAAATTGGATTATTGTTGAACAACCAGCTACAATTTTGGAAACTATATGTTCCATTCGTCCGTTCATGTAGAGAAATATGATAGCATTTTCGCACTCACCTTGGAAATAAGACGAACAACCTACTCGAATATGGAGAACTCTTTCTTCAAGGGTGTGTACAAACTTCGGCTTATAGTGATAGAAATTATTTTTGTGCTAAATTCTTCTCGACGTTTTGTAGCCAACCCCTGTGGTTTCACTAATACTCCCAATATTAGTTTATTCATTTTCAACAACGCTCTAACAAACATGTCTGATTTTTTACTTCTACTTCTCCATCTTCATACAAAAACTTCGCGAACTTCCGAAGAAAGAAACAAAGCAATGAGATCAAATGATAGATTTCCATGCTCTTTCATATATCACCTTGTGTAACAGTCTTTTATGAAAACTGTTTCAATTCCATAGAAAATATTTAGAGAAAAAAATGAATGTGAAAAAGTTATTTCCATGTATTTTCGTTTTCATAAGAAAGAATTCATTTCGAGAAGTGCTTTTTCCTTCAGTTTGTATCTGAAAGAAACTTTTGAGCATGACTCAATTGCTTTCATTTCTTCCGAAGTTTCTCACATTTTTTTTTTTAATAATAGATGAGCAGAAAGCTAAAAATGTTGTGAAAAGTAATTTTCCGAATGGAAAGACAAATTCAATTTCTGCAAACTAGTATTTGATAAGAGGACATGACCATGAAGTATTGCATTCAGTTATGAAACTCAACTCATTGAAAGGTCTAGAAATGAATAGGTTCAAAAATTAAGAAAAATAAATCGTCTCTATTGAACTATTTTTTAATGGCGGAACTGATGATTAGTTGGAAAGGTATTTTCAACAAGTAGTTGCAACTTTTGATGCACTGTTTGAAACCTTTCGTGTAGTAATGAAT